AACCGACAGGGTTAATCAGGACCATCTTGCTAGATTGGGGCAGGCAACTGTGCACCCTGGCCCACCGAGGCAGCATCAGCCTGCAGAGACCTGTGGGAAATGGAGTGGGGGGAAGGGGTTGCACAGGCTGCTGCCGGCCTGGAGCAGAAGAGGCAGGGGAGGGGGAGAGAGTATAGTGGTGGGGGGCAAAGAAAGATCCAGCTGGCCTGTCTGTCTGTCTGTCTGCCTGCCAGCCAGCCACAGGCCTCTCCTTCCGCAGGGAGCCACGCTGGACAGGTGAAGCCTTTCGACCAGCTCAATCATCATATTTATTCTAATTGTATCGTAATCGTCCCCAAGGAGCCTGGTTCAAATGAGCTTGACATTATTAAAATTTTAATGCCCAGTTTTCATAGCTGAATGAATATTTAAAGGGTATGTCCCAGCTTAAGTTATGATGATGAAGAAATTAATGGAATGTCTTGTTTAATGCATGGATATGTGTTGATGCAAGAAGTGGCAGTGGGATGGGGAGGGGGAGGGGAGGCAGAGCCAGAGCAGAAGGGGCTGGAGAAGGAGCCCCTGCCCTCCTTCCTGCCTGCCCTCGGCTGCAGTGGGGAGCAGAGAAGGGGCCGGGTGGGCACCAAGTCCTGGGCTAGGGACCACTTGCTCCCCCTGAGAGGGGCCCCAGCCAGAAAGAGAAACAGACCACAGGGTTAGTGATGCCCTCTAGGGAGCTGTCCCTTACCCAGGAAGGAGCCCTGGCCCCACAAGTCCCCTCAGGCCCCAGAGGCAGAACCTGGGACTGAAGGCCACAGGGCTCTCCATGGGGATGCTGACAACACCTCAGAAAGAAAATCTGCAAGGCAGGCACTCATACCCCAGCCCAGGGTCCCACCAGGCATAAGCCCCAGGGCCCCGAGAATAACAGACTGGCTGGGAGAGATGGCTGGACAGAGGGACAAGGGACGGGAAAGAAAAGGCACTGAGAAGTGGCCTCTAATTCCTTGAATTCCCAGTGGTCACCTATGAGGAGCACCCTGGGGCCCAGGTAGCCAAGGGGCCCTGAGGCAATGGCCGGTTCTGAGGGCAAAGTTAGAAGAAGGGCAAGGAGTTGGCAATTGCCCCTTCCCATTTTCCTTTCCGTTCTCCTTCCTGGCTCTTCCTCCCAACCTCTCTGGTCCCCCTCACTGCATTCTCCTTGCCTCTCCCCTCCCTCCGCCATGTTTCTCTTTGCTGTCTCCTCTCCTCACTTCCTCTCACTTCTCACTGGTTTTCTGCAGGCCCTGCCTCTCCCTTCTCTCCGGCCTGCCTCAGCTGCCTCTCCCTTCTCTCTGACCTGCCTCAGCCTCCTCTCCCCAGGACAGACTGGTTCGCTCTGTCCACTCCTCCCTCCTCAAGGCAGAACCAGGGCTTGGTGAGTCTAGACAGGGCCCAGAGCCCAGAAACAGGAAGGGAGACCTCTAACCTCCATTCAGGCCCAGCCCCCACACTGAGCCGCTCCAGCTGAGCAGCCCTCCCGACACTCCATTTCTGCTGAGAAAGGAGAAAACACAGACCATGCTTATTTCTCCACCGAGCCTGGCTCCCTTCTGACAGCCCCTCAGAGGCTGTCTGGATGCTGACTACCTCCAGATCACATGGGACATCAGAAATGGCTCCAGGAGCTGTGGGTCCATGGAACCATTCAACTTTGCTTCACCAGTCTGTCTGGAGCACCCTGTGGGTGCCCCACCTAGGGTGGCTGACAGCACATGGGTAGCCAGGTGAGACCCCAGACCCCTGCCGTCAGGGAGCCCCAGTCAAGTTGGAGAGAAGCCTGTGTGAGCAGCAAGCCCCCCACTATGGTGTGGAGATGTCTGAGCATTCTGCAGAGGGCTGGCAGGGCTTCTAGAGGGAGCTTATCAGGTCTAAGTCACAAGTGCCTGAAGCAGAGGAAGTGGGACAGTGGCGGGTGCCTTAAGGAGGGGCACCCACTGAGGTGGAAAGCTCCATCCTCAAGGTGATTAATTTACCTTCCTTTAATCTACTCACCTGGAAACTGGAACCCATCATACCAAAAAGAGCTGTATCCCCAGCCCCTGCCAATCCCTGGGCACACCCGACTGCTCTCAGACCCGCGTAGAAAAGAGAGACCGTGGAGCACAGAAACAAGGTGCCGGGGGATACCAGGGGAGGAGGGCCCTCCCAGCGGTCCCTGCCCTTCCTCCTAGCATCATCCCTAAGGATGAGGAGGTCTACCTGGCCTCCTCCAAGGCCTCACTCCCTCCCTCCACACAGGTTCCCTCAGTTGGCTCCTGGGGCAGAGGACAGAGCCCGACCGGGTCTGTTCACACACCTCCACCTGCCACTTCTCAGCCAAACCTTCCTCACCCTCCTCCTTGAGGAAGGCTGGATCTCCCACCTACTCCCCTCCTTCCCTCCCCCTTCTGCTTTGGGCTTCCCTGGACCACTCCCCAAGCCCCTCTCACCCAGTTCTCAGCATCTTTGAACATGTAGGCAGGTGTCAGGGGACCTGGGTTCCAGTCTTGACATCGATATTTACCACCTATGTGACTTGGGGGCTAGTTTTTTAACCTCTCTGAAACTCCATTTCCTTGGCTGAAGTTACATACATCACGGGGGAGGTTATGATCATCCAGCAGTATAACAGATGTGGCAGCTGCTCATTTTCTGAAGAGTGTCGTGTGCCCTTTGGGGGGCCTGGGCTGCCTGAGTCTCCCCTTGAAAGAAGTTCCCAGCCTTGAGTGCGGTTCTCCGTGGTGCTTGATGGACAAGGGAAAAGTCCCTGAGGACCCTTCCCACTGGGGCACACGGAAGGCTTCGTGGACCCACCTTGAAAGATGAATAGAAAGTCAAGAGGAGGAGGCTGTGAGAGTATAGGAGAGGAACTTGCAGGCTGAGGGAATGGACTTGGGGGAGGAAGGTACCAGGACATGGGACGGGGGTGGGGGAGCAGAGAAATTGGTGGTAGAGGCCAGATTCAACACATTGAAGCGGCTGTACTCAATTTGGTAGCCCAAGGAGCCTGGCCCCAACCTCCCCTTGCCAGATGGACTGTTGCCCACTTACATCCTCCCCGTCCCCTCCTTCCTGAGCAGCTGGGCTCAAGTGAGTTGAAATCTATGAAGGCAAATCTGCCATTGTAAGCCTAGCCCTGTGCCTCCCCATCCTGGCTGGATCCGAGACCTGCCACTTTGGTCTTCTCATCGGCAAGACAGAGTTAAGAATCTCTGCCTCGGAGAATTGTAATAATTCCGTGACCAAGAAAGAGGTAGAAGTATGCCCAAGAGAATGCAAGGGCCAGAATTAAGTCCTGTTCAGTCCTTGGGGCCCTTCTGGCGTAGGAGAATATTGCAGGCATTTTGGAAGACTAAGAGGAAGGGATGTTCCAGGAGGGAAGGGCAGCCTAGAAAAGGTTAGATGCTGAGTCCCAAAAAGCACTGCACAGGAAGCCCAGAGTGACCTGGCTCTCTCCTGGAACCTCTCCTCCCACCCCTGCCATCAGCCTCACAGTCAGATGCCTGGGTAGCCTTCTAGACCCTTCCCTCAAGGGCTGAAAATAAGGTAGTTTGTGGGGAAGCCAGGGTCCCCTAAATGAAGCCAGGAATTTCATTATGTCCCTCTTTCTTCTCCCTGTAATTGGAGTTTCTGTGACGAGACACTTTCCTCTGGGTGGCAGAGCTTGCAGACAAAGCACCTTTCCCTCAACTCCATAAGGGATTGCCAGGTGGGACCTCACAGCAAACAGTCACTCCTGACCCACCCTCACCATGGACCGGCCCTCAGTGGTCCTGTCTGCACCACCTGAGCCACTTTTTCTGTCTGCTGTGTCCTGCCTCCCGCCTCTGTCCTTCGTTGGCATGGCTCTGTCCTTCCCCTGGTCTTGCCTTCACCTTGCTGAGTCACGGGCACTCACACCCCCTCATCCAGTTGTCTTGACGTAGCCAAAACTCACGTCGAATCCTGGACCAGGAGGCCTGAGGACTCTTTGTGACTGGCTAGCCAAGCCCTGTACTGAGGGGAATTGGCAACAGAGTCACGTGCTGCCAGCTGGGAAGGCAGAAATCGCCCTGGAAGTCAGGAGGCCCAGGTTCCCAGGCTATTCCTGCCACCGTTTGGCCTTGGAAAGCAAGAGAACTTCTCTTTGCCTCTGCTTCTCCATCTATAAAATGGGGGTTTTAGTACCAGTCATGCTAGCGTCTCAGGGTTTGTGTTTGTGAGAGAAATTCAGATGAGATAATGCGTAAGGGATGTACATGACAGGCAAAAGGACTTGTAAAGACATGACGTATGATTCAATTTGAATGAATCTTATCATTTTTACTGTTGGAAATGTCTTGGGACCTCGGGGCTGGAGAGCCCACCCTGGTGCCTCCCCACAGCAGGGAAGATTGAAGACAGGCTGCTGAGCCTGATGCTTGGAGTTCAGAGACCCCTAGTGGCCCGAACAGGGAATTGACACGATCCCAGAGAGGCCTGTGGCTGGCCGCTTGGGGAGTCAGGCCATAGAGAGTGGCTGTGCCCAGCTCCACCCATCCCAGGTGACATCCCTGGCTGCAATGAAGGGCCCCTGAGTCTCAGCCACCCCTGGGACCCACAACCCACATCTGCAAGCTGGGGCTCGTTGCCAGGCCCTGGCCCGGGCAGCGTCAGTCTGCAGCCAATCCGGCTGTCTCGAGTGAAGCAGGGCTGGGCCGGAGGTGGGCCATGGGAGCGTGAGGCCTCATGGCAGTAGAGTCAGGGGACCCGCATTTCAGTCACCCTCGAATTCTGATGTGACAGGCTAGCAGGAACTACTGAAAAGGTGGAGGGGATGCTGTGGGGTCTCCAATCCAGAGAAATGGCTTCTGAAATAGCGGGGCCTTGGGGAGCGAGTGGGCTTCAGTGAGAAGTGCATCGGTGTATGAGTGTCTGCGGGTGTGGTCTGTGTGTGCTCGCACTCACCTGTGTAGTTACGGGTGTGGGGGTGCCTGCCCCCACAGGCCAGCTCTAACGCTGTCTCCTGTGCTCTGTTGCAGATGAACCGGCCGATCCAGGTGAAGCCAGCGGACAGCGAGAGCCGAGGAGGTAGTAGCTGCCTGCGCCAGCCCCCTTCACGTGAGGGCCCACTTGTCTCTGCCCCTCCCCTCCCCACCTTCTCTCTCCCCAATGCAGCGACCCCCTGCCTCCTCCTGCTGCTCCCTGGGGACCTTGTGGCTGGCAGGGAAGGGAGTTTGAGGACAGGGCTTCAGAGCTCTGGGGACCGGTATGGGCAGAGAGTGAAGGGAAGTGGGGAGATTGCGCATGCCGGATGGTGGGGTCTGCGCCTTTCTGTGAGTGAACCAACAGCATGTTCTGAGGTCCTCTTCTGCCCCAAAAGGGTGCCCCCATCTCTGCATTGTCACCAAGAAGCACCCCACTGTGAAACGTACAAGTTGAAAGATGCTGGGCCAGGATGTAGGAAGCTTGGGTTGCAGCTCTGCCCTGAGGGGGTCAGGCCAGAAGGGGCAAATCTGGGAAGGATGGCTCATGGGGAGTGAGGGGGACATACAAGTCCTGCCTCTGAGGTAAGGTTCTCATGGTAAATACAGGCACACAAATGCTGGTCCCAGAACATGGAACCTACTGAAGCCGGGAATGAGGTGGCCGAGCCTCTTGGAGGAAGCCTGGTGAGGGAACTGCCTCACGTTGAGGGCTCTGCTCTGGAAAGGCAGAGCAGGTGTCGAACCAGGGATAACCCTGTCCCCAGGTGACACCCTCCCGGGGCAGTGCCTTCCTGCTGTAGTGCTCACCCCACCCCTCAGCTTCCAGGGGTTACCTGGGCCCACCCAGGGCAAAGAGCGTACCCTGTTTCCTCTAGATAGGATCCACCTGGTCCATGGTAAAAGAAAACTAAGGGAGAAGTGAAGGCAAAGAAAACACCTCCAACATAAAAAGGCAAGCTTCCATCGCCAAGGTGCTGGATCCTCCCGCAGCTCACCAGCCCCCATGATACAGAGAGCGTCCCACCTCACCTATGGGAGAGAGACACATCATCCCCAAAGGGAGGGAACCATTCACAGGCCCCTGGCCTGGTCAGCCTACTTGGGCGGGGGGGTGGGGGGCGAGAGGGAGAGCACAGCTGTCCTTCCTACCAGGGATGGCCCTCACCTTCATAGAAAGGGCTTTTGACCCTGCAGACCACCAGCTCCCCCATCCCCACGGGGCCCTGCCTGGCCAGAGCCCTGAACTGTGCCCTTGGGCTCTTCCCTGGGCAGATGGCCAAACCAAGGCCCCAACCAGGTAAGTCAAGGATCCCCAAGGGAAAGCTCTGTCCTCTTCACCAACGAGGGGCCCACCCCATTACACACAGAGGCTCCACCAGGCAGTGGGCAGAGCAGCCATCTGTAAAAAGTGCATACCAGAGGGCAGAGGGGAAGGATGTCTCCCTGCGTCCTGCCCTCCACAGTGGGAGACAGAAACCACCCAGGAAGAGTGTAGAGAAACTGAGGACATGCCCAGGAGGCCACTGAGAGGAGTATAAGGAACCAGGCCCAGGGAGCAGGACAAGGCGGCCATCACAGATGTTCTCAGCCTCCAGGCCATGAACTCTTGGTGTCCTCTGCCAGGCACCCCATCACCCTAGCTTCTGATGCCCATGTCCACCACCATTCCCAGGCCCAGGACTCTCTGCCCCTGGGTGCTCCCTGCCTGGGCCTCGACAGGTCACTCATTAGCTCAGCCGGGCACTGAGGAATTTCTCTCTTCTTCACCACCCCACCCCCAAAACACCCACATTTACCAGGAAATTAAGGGCAAAATGTCCAATAGGCAAAAGGTGGGAATTGTAGTGTGGCCGTAGGTGGCCTCCTTGCCCTGGATACTTCCAGGACACTCCCTTGTCTTCCTCCAGCTCAGGCCACTCCCTCTGGGCCCCGGTAGGGCCCTGACCCAGGCATGAGGACCCTAGGACCCTGGCCCCCTCCTGACTTGGGCCTCAAGTCTCCCCCCACCACCCTGGCCTGGCTGCTGTCTGAAAGGACACCATGCCCCGGGCACAGACACACCTCCATGGTCCACGGATAGGTGGCTTCCCATGCCTGGCAGTTGAATCACTTTGTGTTCCTCTGAGCACTCAAGCTCCTCAAGTACCCACGTCCTGGCAGTGAGAGGAGGCTGTTCCCACACAGCCTCGCCCAAGGCTCCTCCTCACTGGCTCCAGAGCTTGGAGGAGCTGGCACATAGTAGGGTGAGGGCCCTCTCCTGGCGGTCAGCTCTGGGAGGCAGGCTCGAGGGTTCTTGTAGCCCAGGACGCAGAGCAGAGCCCCTGCCCCGATTGTGTTAGCTCTGGCCAGGGGCACGTGATGTGGACAATAAGTGTCACCCTTGATCCCAGAGAGGGTGGGCAGGCAGAGGCCTTGGACAAGATGGCGCTTGAGCTAGCCTTGAAGGAAGGGGAGATTTCATACCTGAGGAAGAAGCAGGAGTGTCAGTAACGACACTCCACCGCCGAGGGAGGCCTTTGAGGAGAGTGGCCAGATGCCTGTGGTGGGGAGTAGGCAGGTCAAAGTTCAGCTGGTTTTCTCCAGAGGCAGAGTGGAGTGTCAGAAATCACCTCTGCCCAGCTGCAGCTTGCTGAGCGCTAACTCAAACCCCTTTCTCCCTTAACTTGCCTCAGAGGCAATAGCTCTCTGACTTCAAGTTGTTAACCTCATCTCCTTCCTCCCATATTTCTCCTACCACTGACACTTGCCCCACACCAGCTTAATCAGCTCTTTTATTAATTCTCCCTGAAGTAGAAAGGTGGGGGAGGAGCCAAACCTCAACATCTATCTACTGAGTATTGCATATTCAATATTAAACAGTGAGCGGATACTGAGTCAGCACTATCACCAAGCTGTTTTAAAAGAGAAAGTCAGTGTAAAATAATTTAATATCCATTAAATACTTCTTCTAGGGGGAAAGAGGTGGGAGGGGGCAAGGTGAACATTGGAAAAAATAAAAGAAATGGGGAGCAGGAGGAGCCAGGAGGAAGAGATGGGAGTGGGATGGAGGATGAGGAATGTGATGGCGAGTAGGGAGGGGAGGAGAGAGAAGGAGAGAAGCAAGGGGAGAAAGGGCGGAAGCGGGGAAAGGGAGAGAAGCCTTGAAGACAGTGGGTTGAGAGGAGATGGTAGGGCATTAGGAAGACTTACGGATACAGCTGGGAAGAGAAGGGAGGGAGCAGAGAAAAGGAAGTGCCCCCCTCCAAGGGAGAGATGGGTCTGCCCCTACCCCTGGCTCAGCAGGGGGCCCCATCGCAGTTCCAGAAGCTTTGTTCCCAGGTGAGATGGGGTCCCAAAGACCCTGAGAACATGGGACATGCGTGCCTTCTGGATGTACTGAATGCTCACAAGTAGCACAAAAAGAAATGATTTATTTTCTGTGTAGGATTTGGGGTGCATGTAGGGGCTAGGGTAGGGCGGTGGGGGCAGGAGGAAGGCTTCTCCCTGCCTCCTCCTGTACAGTCATGTCACGTGCTCCCAGGCTCTAGAGGTGCCCCTGGTCTCATCAGTCCACATGCGGAGGAGGAATGCCAGGTTCAGCCGGATGGAGGAGTGATGTTAAATGGGCATGTGCAGGAGCACCTTTTTAACTTCCAGGGCTCTGAGTGTCTGAAGCAGTTGCTGACAGGATGCTGTCATGGGCTGTCAGAGAAGTCAGCTCTTTTCCTTTCCGATGTATAGTTAACTTACCTTCCTAGGAGTTGGGGTGAATGCAGATATCAGACATGCATCGTCTGTAAGGGAGAGGGGCTGGCTGCATGCATGGCTGGGGCTCCCCCAGAAACAGCACAGGATGGCAGTTCTTGTTCTAGTCCAGAGTTCTAGTCCCAGCTCTGCCCAGAATGAGCTCTGGGTCTCAACCTGCTTACCTGGGGGGTAGGAGGGCTGTGCCGTCCAGTAAAGCTATTTACAGAGCACTAACTGAGGGCTGGGGATTTTATACAGATATGTTTAATCCATACAACAACCTTGCGGTATTACTGGCCCCACTTAAATATACAAACCCAGGCACAGAGAGGTTAGGTAACTTGTTTAAGATCACACAGCTAGTAAGTGGCAGAACCAAATTCAAACCCCCCCGCCTGCCGGCCACCGGAACCTGGGCTTTCTCCATTCCTGACTCCCAGGATGGTCTCTTGGACTCTCAGCAGCTCAGGGGGAAGTGAGGAGGCACCACAGGCATTTGCCATGCTGTGGGCTCATTCTCAAGGCAGCAGAGGGGAGAGGAACAGGGACTCAGGTGAGGGATGCAGGGCCAGACTAAGCAAGGAGCTCCCAGACCTACCCATGAGAGGGGATGGACCAGAGCTGGGGCGGGTCAGATGAGAGAGTGTTGTGGCCTGGAGCAGTCAGGGAGGTCTTCCAGGGGGAGGTGGGAATTCGACCAAGTAGTATGGGTTGGCAAGAGACAATGAGGTCACAAAGTGAAGGTGGGACCTTCCGTGCCAGGCTAAGGGGTTGGGCTTGTCCTCATCGAAAGCAGGAGCCACTGATCCTGATGGGAGTGTGTCTTAGTTTCTTAGTGCTGCTGTAACAGAAATGCAATAAGTGCCTCACAGTTTAGGACCGTAAAAGTCCGTATTCGGGGTGCGGGCTCTAGGGAATGGCTCTCTCTGTCTGCTGGGGGAAAATCCTTGTCTCAGCTTCCTTAGCTCGCCATCCTTGGAGTTCTTGGGCTTGTAGACTGGTCAGCCTCCAGCTTATTCAGATAGTCTGGGTCTTCCCCTGTGTCTGCTTTCCTCTGTGTCTAGTCTGCTCTTTTATATCTCAAAAGTGATTGATTTAAGACACGCCCTACACTGAAATGGCCTCATTAATATAACAAAGAAAACTCTATTCCCAAGTGGGATTATATCCACAAGTATACCAGTTGCCTCAAGTCAATTCTGACTCATGGGTTAGGATTTACAACACATATTTTGAGGAGACACGATTCAGTCTATAACAGAGAGCAGTCAGAGAGAGGGTGTCCCAGCAGTGAATGTCCCTGGGCAGAAAGAGGGGAGAGCACCGCTTCTACCACCACCAAGAGCAAGGGTTCTGGCTAGGCAAGGAAAGAAAACCAGGAGTGAGAGAGCCTCACCACCAGGAGCC